GCAACCACTGTGGAAGTCAGTGTTTCGGTTTCTCAGGAAATTCGGGATCAACTTACCCCTGGACCCAGCAATACCACTCCTGGGAATATACCCAAGAGATGCTCTATCATATGACAAAAGCATTTGTTCAACTATGTTCATAGCAGTATTATTTGTAATAGCCAGAACCTGGAAACAACCTAGATGCCCTTCAATGGAAGAATGGATGAAGAAAGTATGGAATATATACACGCTAGAGTACTACGCTGCGGTAAAAAACAATGACTTCTCGAATTTTGCAGGCAAATGGATGGAAATAGAAAACACTATCCTGAGTGAGGTGTCCCAGACCCAAAAAGATGAACATGGGATGTACTCGCTCATAATTGGTTTCTAGCCATAAATTAGGGCCACGGAGTCTACAATAGGTGAACCTAAAGAAGCTAAGTAAGAAGGTGAACCCAAGGAAAAACATATAGTTATTCTCTTGGCTAAGGGAAGTAGACCCAATTGCCGGGGAGAAAATTAGGATTTTGGGGGTGGGGTGGGATGGGGGTAAGGGGAGATGGGGAGAGAAAAGGTAGAAGGGAAGGAGGGGGGACTTGGGGAATCAGGAGAATTGGGATAAAGGAAAGGTGGATAGGGGAGCACGGAACCACAATTCTTAGTTAAGGGAACCACTTTAGGGTGAGCAAGAGATTTGACCCTAGAGGGGCTCCCAAGTGCCCAACATGAGGTTCCCAGTTAGTTCCTTGGGTAGCTGAGGACTGGGAACCTGAAATGACCCTATCCGAGAGCAATACTGACGAATATCTTGCATATCATCATAGAACCTTCATCTGGTGATGGATGGAGACAGAGACAGAGACCCACACTGGAGCACTGGACTGAGCTCCCAAGGTCCCAATGAGGAGCAGAAGGAGGGAGAACATGAGCAAAGAAGTCGGGACCACGAGGCGTGCACCCACCCACTGAGACAGTGGAGCTGATCTACTGGGAGCTCACCAAGGCCATCTGGACTGTGACTGAAAAAGCATGGGATAAAGCCAGACTCTCTGAACATGACGAACAATGAGGGCTGATGAGACACCAAGGACAATGGCACGGGGTTTTGATCCTACTTAATGTGCTGGCTTTGTGGAAGCCTAGCCAGTTTGGATGTTCACCTTCCTAGATATGGACGGAGGGGGGAGGACCTAGGACTTGCCACAGGGCAGGGAACCTGGACTGCTCTGTGGACTGGAGAGGGAGGGGGAGAGGAGTGGGGGGAGGGGTAGAAGGTGGGAGGAGGGGGAGAAGGGTGGGAGGAGGGGGAGGGAGATGGGAGGCTGGGAGGAGGTGGAAACTTGTTTTTTGTTTATGTTTTTTTTCTTCTTTTCTTAATAAAAAAATTATTAAAAAAAAAACAAAAAAAAAAAAAAAAAAAAAAAAAAAAAAAAAAAAAAAAAAAAAAAAAATAAAAATAACAACAAATAAACTAGAGTCTGAAGATAGGGTTCATTCTTTAATATCACTGGATGTCTTCCAGAGGATCCAGGGTTGATACCCAACCCTACCCGATGGTTCACAACTGTCTGTAACTCCAGTTCCGAGAGATCTCATAAAGTCTGGTACTGTCTGTGGGCATTAGGTACTCACGTGGTGCACAGACTTCCCTGTGGAAAAGCATTCAAAAGCAGAAAATAAAAAACGCAGTTATGCTTTCTTAGGGGCAGAATACTTGTAGCCTTGAGATGGATGATGATAGCACTCTATTCTATCGCCTAAGTCACATAATCACCTTACAATTTAATTTACTGAAAGAAACTTTAAAAGGAATAAGCACATTTAAAAGCATTGCTTTTTAGTTTCATTTTTTACTTTTTAATAACCTATTGAATATTTTTTTCCTAATGGAAAAATAGAACCCATTTAAAGAGTAAAAATATTCTTATAGTTAATTTAAAAACCTGAATATAGGCTTTAATGTAATTTAATCTTGAAATTTTCTGAATTACATTCTTTCAGCAATGTAACTTTAGAGCCATAAAAATCCTCCCATTTCTCCCTCTCCCACTGTACCTCCCTCCCTGCCCACCTCACATACCCTTTGCAATGACACCTAATCTCAAGTCTCTCTCCAGTCCACTCTCAGGCCATCATGCAGGAGCCATCCTTATTCTGTGTGAGCTTCTATCCACAGGATTAATAAGCTCACAACCTTTGCTTCATCCTGGCTGTTTCTGAAATTCTTTACTGCATCCTAGATTCATCTTTACCAGGGTCAAGGTCATCAAAGCGACAGGGTTATCCTCAGGCTGCTGGTCACTGTGCTGGGCTGTACCTCCCTACCACTTATGGGGAGTCCCAGAAAAACTCGGTGAAGCACAAATGTCTGCTTCACTGAAGTGTCTTTGAGTCTTTGCTAAAGGTGTCCCCTCACACATGTGTGACTCTTCTGTCCCCTTCATATTCTTTTCTGTCTTATTGTCATTTCCAATCAGGCACACTGTCTACATTTCCAAAAGGTTTATAAGGAGTTTGGAAGTCAGGTGTTCATCCTCCGAGTTTGTTCCTTTATAAGGTTGTTTCAAGCTGGGGTTCTCCATATTCACTGTGAATTTCAGGATAAGCCCATTAGTTTATGAAAAGTCTGTTAGAGTTCTGTTGGTATTGCACTGGATCTATAGGACTATATGAGGAGAACAGACACCTGTATCTTCCATTGCATGAAGATGATTGTAGCGTGAGTTCTAATTGGTCTTAATAATAAAATCTGGAGTCAGATATTAAGTAGTTGGAGCTATAAGATCAGAACAGCAGAGCAGCCAGACACTAGTTCTTTCCCCGAAAAAATCCTCAGACCAAATGGAGCATCCTGTCTCTACAAGACCTCAGACTGACTGCCTGGATCTCCTATCTCCTCCCACCTTATATTCCTCTCTTTTTCCAGCCACATTCCTTTCATTCTCCATCTCCCTCGTGCTGGGATTAAAGGTGTGTGACACCAAAGCACTTTGATGAAAGATGTGAGTCACCACTGCCTGACTCTGTTTCTCTTTTAGACTGGATCAATCTAATGTAGCCCAGGATGGCCTTAACCCACAGAGTTCTGTTTCTTTTTTTTTTTTTAATTTATTTATTTATTAAGGATTTCTGCCTCGTCCCCACAACCGCTTCCCATTTCCCTCCCCCTCCCCCGAACAAGTCCCCCCCCCCCTCATCTGCTCGAAGAGCAATCAGGGTTCCCTGACCTGTGGGAAGCCCATGGACTGCCCACCTCTATCCAGGTCTCATAAGGTGAGCATTCAAACTGCCTAGGCTCCCACAAAGCCAGTACGTGCAGTAGGATCAAAAACCCACTGCAATTGTTCTTGAATTCTCAGTATTCCTCATTGTCCGCTATGTTCAGCTAGTCCAGATTTATCCCATGCTTTTTCAGACCTAGGCCAGCTGGCCTTGGTGAGATCCCAATAGAACATCCCCATTGTCTTAGTGTGTGGGTGCACCCCTCGTGGTCCTGAGTTCCTTGCTCGTGCTCCGTCTCCTTCTGCTCCTGATTTGGACCTTGAGATTTCTGTCCGGTGCTCCCGTGTGGGTCTCTGTCTCTGTCTCCTTTCATCGCCTGATGAAGGTTAATATTCCTGAGGATGCCTATGTGTTTGTCTTTGGATTCACCTTATTTAGCTTCTCTAGGAACATGAATTATAGGCTCAATGTCCTTTATTTATGGCTAGAAACCAAATATGAGTGAGAAACCAAATATGTTAAGAAACAGAGTTCTGTTTCTTAAGTGTTGGGAAAGGTGAGTTCCAACACTGCCTGTCTTCTGTGGCTAACTAGTGGCTATCTGCACACACTGATTCTCAGGCAAGCTTTATTGTCATGGAAGAAACAAAATATCACCACAGTCGATGAATCTATACATCTTTACTCTCAGCAATGAGTTGTCCCATTCAGTGTCTAGGCACTACAGAGAAGTGGGCAGAGTTTTCCTAATTATTTCATATTTCCTGATGCTATCTCCAGTGACAGGGATTTTAAATTACAGCTTCCACACATTCATTTCACTGTGGTCAGCTGTCTGTGTTAAATTTAGACAGAGTTATTGATGAATCTTTTAGGTTAAAATATTTAATTACATTCTCTATGATGAAAATGTCTTTGATGCTAACATATATTTGCTGTGTTCAAAATTCAGTACTTTGAAGTTGCAAGTGAATTATGAGAACAGAAACAAATGTCCAACACCCAGTTTGGGGGAAAATTTCTAAGGCAGCCACAGGTCAAAGGTTTGCCCCAATGGCATCTTTGGAATCATAGAGATAGTCCTTTACCTCCCAGCTAGCTCCATCAGGGAGGTGCTGAGATCACGGTGGAGAGAAAGAAGGGGATACATGTGAAGAGTTAGGTATGTATGTGTAACTCCAGAAAGGTTTGTATTATGAAGAATACTTAGGTAATTATTTTCAAAATATCTAATATTATTTTCCCCAACACAAAAAGGAAAAGGTTAGTACTCGTGTGTTTTCCCTCTTGTTTTCCCATCCAGTCATGCAGATTTTAGCAGTGTTGCTGTGGACTTGTACAGAGGGGTGTTTTATGTATGGTTCTTTCCATGTTTATTATAACCATGACGCCTGCTAAGTGTTGCTCTGATGCCTACTTCCCTGTGCAGTTACTAGTATACAAGCATTGCTTGTCTTTGAGTAATGTTTCCCTTTTATCTTTTGTTTATTAATGGATTTACTCATGCGTTTGTGTCTACTCAGAAACACCCATTTCTTAAAGGAGTACTCCTTTGTCATCATTATATACTGTGATGCTTAAATTATCCCATAACATGCCCGTGGGAGTACATTCAAGTGGACCTGCTCTTCATTTGTTATCTGTCTAGAATTCTGGATTATCTGACCACCCCTGGGAAGAAAGCCAAAAGCAAATGCTTCTTGTCAGTGATACTTTGTGTCCTCTGCCTATCAATGTCAGGTCTCTTCTATGAGAAGAACAGCAGGACTGCAGAGAGAACACGCAGAATGTTGACAAGAAGCTGACATGAGCCCTTGTTTCCAGTATGTGAGTCATCATTGCCACCAATGTGAGTGTGTGTGTGTGTGTGTGTGTGTGTGTGTGTGTGTGTGTGTGATGTGTACATGGGTGTGTATAAAGGGTCTGTGAAATGAACAAAGAAGAGGAAGATGTCACTGCACATCTTTGACTTGACTGGATGCAGACAGACTACTCCATCCTTATATTCAGTACAGTAGAGTGACAAGATCATGTGGGACTCACCAGGTCAGTCATTTCCTTTTCTCTTCCCATCTGTGTGACCAGCAGCTGGTCTGTGATGCCTTGTAGGAACACATCCTGTTGAGCAGTTCGCAGCAAAGAGCAGCACACTGTAAAACAATGGCATTCATAGACTCCCCAGATGACTGAACCCTGTAGGGGTCCCTTTAAATGACCAGGACTGAAATGGAAGCAATCCCCATCAGACCATTTCCCCGAATGGGCCATGCATGACTGCATCACATTTGGAGGGATTGCTTATTAAGATGGTAGAAATCTGGATCCACAACAGACACTGAATCATGCTTATTAAAATGGTAGATATCTGGGTCCACAGCAGACACTGATTCAAACCCTAGGAAGTGAGTGTGGCATAGCCACTTCTTTCTGATGGCTGTCCATGTTAAAACGTATTGCTAGTGTGTTTGATATTCTGTCTTCCAGGATATGAAGTCACAGACTGCTTAAGTCCATACCATGTTCTCTTGTTACTGACTTAAATACCACTGTGTTGCATGGCATATCAAATAGACAAATCAATTCCTTCGTGTACGTTTATCCAGATATTCACATAGTGGCCTCTTTAGTGAACACCTTGTTCCTGCACTGTGAAGACTAGCACGGGTCCTTGTATATCGTGTTAGATAGGTAAACTGTCAGTAAGCAGAAGAAATCAGTAATCACAGCAATTCCGTGTATTATTGGCGCTTTAAAGATCATAAAGGGGACAGGAAATAGTTGTGATGGGGATTGTCGTATGTGATGTTACCCCCAAAGGTTTCAGAAGTTAGCATGTGATCTGAGTCCTGAATGGCAAATAGAAGCAAGACCATGCACAAACCAAGTTGTGGGCCTGCTTGCTTCCATGGAGAACAGTGGATCTAAGAGCAGAGAACAAGGCTAGTTGCCAGAACCTTGAAGACAACGTGGACACTGCTTGGGGATAGGACAGAAAGGAAAATGTTGTCATTGTCAGCTGTGTATGACATTTGGATTATATGATCTGTGTGGAAGGTGAGTTATGAAATTGTCATGATATGTTTCCTTTTGGTAGAAGGTGACTTGGCACTGCACAGAGAAAGGCCTGGGGAGGGCGGGATGAGGTAGTGTGTGGAGACAGTGGAGATGGTTCCGAAGACAGGGGAGGGATGGAGGTATGAAAGAGGGATGAAGCCATGCTGCAGTGATCAGCAGGAGAGCTGCCCTGTGCAGCCTTGTCTGGGAGAGGGCCGATAGCAATGGATGCGCTGTGCATTTTCCCTGTGGAGAAATTGCTCTAACATCTCTGGATTTGTCTGACCACATGGAGACACGGTGCTTCCATTTACTGACATCAGTTATTCCACGTGTATTGACACAGGATAGTTTGAATACCCAAACTAGTCATTGTAAAACTTAACAATTTGATAACGAGTTGCTGATGAATAATTTTCAGATGTAAAGTTTTCTAAGTACAGCTAACTGTAGCATAATTTCCAACAGAATAAGAATCTAACATTTGTCTCTTAAAAAGTGAACCCAAAATTCAGTGTATTTTTGAAAATGGCTGTTCTACAGCATGTACTGCTCTTGGCAGGTTTACAGATGAAGGAAGTGAGTAGGTTTTAGGCAGAGTTGAAGTGAAATCAGTCTCTAAATTCTGCAGCAACTGTTTGTCCCTATTTCTCCAGAAGAAGACTGCCTTTAGAAATGCTTATTTTTGACAGCAGGGAATGGAGCAAACATTCACAAGACAGAGGCAGTTGGATGTCTGAGTTCAAGGCCAGCCTGTAATTCCAATTGCATATATCAACATTAGTCTGTCACATATGCAGGAACTTGTGACTGGTATTTAAAGCAGGTATTATCACTAAAGACCCCCAAATTAGCACATGAGCAGTGTGATGCTCTCAATTCACAGAGTGGGAAGCACAGCTCAGAGCAGAGGGTCTCACTCTGTTTTCTCCTCACAGAAATTCCCAGCCTGTGTTTGGAGAATGGGTCCAGGACATCCTGGCTCAGGGAACCAAAGTTGCTGGGGCTAGGAAGGTCCCACATCTCTCTGACTCTAGAAAAGTGGTTCAACCTGTGACTTGACCCCTTCAGCAAACGTCTATCTCCAAAACTATTTCCATTGTGATTCTTACCTGTAACAACTTTACAGCGATGATGAAGCAACAGAAATAATTTTCTGGTTGGGATCACCACGCATGAGGGACTGTATTAAGAGTCACGTCACAGCATAGGAAGGCTGAGAACCATTGCTGTACAGACATCCAAACGCAGAATCCGGCTTCTCAGATATCTCTGGGATCCCTTCATCATTGTCCCCATACTCCTAGGGAGGCACAGCCCCACATCAGGACACATACACTCACATCTCCGTGCAAGGGAAATCCTGTTCTTCTTTCTCCGTCATTTCTATTTCCACACACTATGCTATATTTCCAAATTTTCTTTTTTTATGTCTTCAGTACTGAGCTTAAGGATGTGTCTGATTCTTTGACCAACCTTTTTCCTGTTTTGTGATTCTTCTGCAGGGTCTGGGTCATTGGCTGTGCACACACATCCACAGACAGTACAACAACAGCCTCTAGTCCCTTGTTGCTGACCTTTGGGAAGCTGGGCATGTAAGGTAGGTTTGCTGGCAGGAGACATGCTCTCAGGAACAGGATGTCCTTGCCAGAGGCTGGACTCGAGGATGCTACAGCACTTAGATCTGCCCAGCATCTGACGGCCCTGTCCCAAGCTCTTCACAAATGTGGTGGGAGCACATTTGGGGATTTTTAAAAGTGGTCCCTAGACACTGCTATTGCTCCCCTGGCTGTGCACACATTCCCAGCTATATTCTTGATTTCTCTGGTAGCTGTTCAATGAGAATGCTATACCATGAAAAGAAATCACTGGTGAATTTAAAAAGCCACAGTATGGGGACTGGCGACATAGCTCTCGTGGCAGAATGATTGCCTAGAATGGAAATTGCTCTGTGTTCTTTGACCCTCTGGGCATGTTCACCCTCACCTGTAATACCAGCACTCAAGGCGTAGAGGGAGGAGGAAAGAGACAAGAGAGTCATTACTGTTTATGAGAGTATGGCTCCCAGCCCCCATGGCAGATAGCTCACAACTGCCTTTAACTCTAGCCCCATCAGGAGTCAATGCCTCTGCCAATCATGTGCATACCACAGACAGACAGACAGACATAATTAAAAGTATAACTAAAATCTAAACAAGAAAAAAAAAGAAGCATCAACTCCAGGTCATTGACCAAGGGGAAAACACAGTGGAATTTAAAATATGAACATTATAAAGGCTAACGGAATCTAACAGTCTACAGTCTGGCAGGGGAGATGACTCAGTGGTTCAGAGTGCATTCTATTGTTGCTGAGGATCCAAGGTAGTTTCCAGCATCCATTTCCAACATCCTTGAAGGACCATACCTCAGCTCCAGGAAGGTATGACCTCTCCTGACCTTTGGAGGCGCCGGAATTCATGTGTACATACACATAGGAATATACACAACGTAATTATTATTAAGTTATGTATATTTTAAAATTATGTACAAATTAAAATAATTGTTGTGAAACAATGAAGAAAAATGGTCAAATGCCAGGCAGTAATGAGAACAGTTTTCATCAGCGTTAGGTGGCAAATGCGTGCACTTTCAGCTATTTGAACACTGGGGTTACACGATCATTACTGCTAAGAAGTTTCAGAACAGCCTTAATAGCACAGAGAGGCCCTGCCTCAAAATGAAAACCAAACAAAAACCAGAAATATCTCAGAAAATGTGAAATTTCTTAGGAAAACAATCTTAGAGTACATGGTTTTTCAAGAGATGTGGATCATTATAAAATAAATTTTTGCAGGGAAATCAATGATAAAATTACTTATTTCGTGGGAATTCAACAATATACATGTAGAAATGGAATGAAAATGTTACTGGGCCGAGAAGAAAACAGTAGCATTAAGAATGTGTTTACATTAAAATGAATACTTGAGCTGGGGCAGTGTGGTAAGCTGGGAGGACCAGCAGCACTCTGAAGGCTGAGGGAGGAAGGGGAAGAGTCCCAGGCTGGGCTGGGCTGCTCTGAGACTCTGCACTAAACACACAAAATAATTAGCAGGACTATTATCGTTCCATTCACTGTGGGAAAGTTTCAGCTTAGTTCTGTCATGGGAAACCATCCTCTTTTCACTGGATGTTAGGCAGAGCCCTGTGTGTCCGTGGCAGACACATTAAAGATTACCATCCCCTAAATGGGGAAGTGACTTCCTCACCACCACATACAGCAAGGCGCACAGAAAATGGCGGCTGGCACTCTACTCAGATAGCTCACTCTCTGGAGATTTCCCTGCAGACAGCCCTGTGCCTTAGGGGTAGGAATAAGCCCGGCGACAGACACAGATTTCCTTATGGTAGTACATGTGCTTTCCGGTGGTGTTTCAAATTTCGTATCCAGGAAGTAAAGTACTTTAAAGTGTAAACTGAGAAAAATGCTTGTGCTCGGGTGGTAAAAGTGGGGCTGGGGAGACAGCTAAATCAATAAATTGCTGGCCTTGTGGGCATGAGGCCCTGAGTGTCATTCACAGAGAGCATCATCAAGAAAATGAAGTTAAACTACAGCAGGAAAAGTAGTAGGTGTGGTGGGACTTGCTTGTGTGTGAAGGTGGAGGCAAGCCTATCCCTGGAGTGTGCTGCCCAGCCAACCCAGCCTGCCTTGCGTGTTCCAGGCCAGTGAGAAACCTTGTCTAAGAAAAACTTCAGGGGGATGGCGCCTGAGGTACAACACCGGAGGCTGCCTTCTGTCCCCTGACCACATGCATGTATGCATACAATTGCAGAAGCACACACATATGCACACGGGCACACAACCACACACTGGATAAACGATGTTTATACCTTCTGTACTTTAGAAGTAGTCATTGTGTTCCATTTCTGGGCAATGAAGTAGAAGGACAAATGGAATCTACTCTCATGCTCTGTGCATGCCTGTGTGCATATGTGTGTGTGTGTTTGCACACAGAGCTCCACCATCTCTATCTAATGAGGCTGCTTTATGTTAGCCTTAGACTGGGATTGGTCTCCAATCTCTGGTTTACATTTGATATACCTAAGATGTCAAGGTTTATGTACCAGGAAAATATACTGAAGTGAAAAAACACTGCTTTATCTCCAGAGGTAAGTTCCCTTCAAGTCCAGGTCACAGCCAATGTTCCCTCCCACCCAAACATAGACGCCACTGGGCCCAAGACTCTCACTGATGTAGTCCCCATTATGGCCAGGAGGTGGCATTCAAACTACATGCCTACATTTATTTTCTTTAAAGGGGCTGATGTTTTATGGAATAGCAATGCGTTTTCAGTGTGTTTGGAAACTTGATACAATACTAGAGCAGTTCCATTTATGGATTGCAGCAACTGTAGTGCTCCACAACTCACTTCATCCTCCCTGAGTGTAAAGTGGGCAGTGCACAAGGGATACAGAGTGGTGCTCTGTAGAGAATATGAATGTGATGGTCACCTTGAATCCCCTGACACTGGAATGGATGGATTTCCTAGACTTTCCATCTCCTCTCCAGAGGCACCAGATGAACACAGATGCCATCTTTAAAGGATTCCTCTAGCCATACTGGGACAAATGGAGCATGGAAATAGAGAACAGCAATAGAGGAAAACAGTTTGGGAAAATGGGTGTTGAGCCATACTGATATCGGTCAGCACATGAGTAAAGAACTATGGAGATAAGTAAGCAGTATACTACACACCAGGTCATCATTGAAGAGGACCAGGAGAATTATAACACATAGCCTATCACAGCAGTAAGTGATTAACTAACTTTCACACATATATATCCAGGGACATATTTGCACAAGCATGAGTATATACACAACACACACTAACAAATGTCAATGTAAACACACAGCTCTCACCTCGAAGGAAGAAGAGAGTTCATTCTGGAGTCAAATATCTGTGAGTAAACATGAGTGAGACAGGTTTATGTTAGTACAAATTACATGTCACAATGTGGAAACAGTTTCATGAAGTATTTATAATCACAGAATGAAGAAACTATAGACTCTCCTTAAGTACATGGGTGATAATATTAAGTAGACTGTTATGGTAAAGCAGAGAAACCTCAGCTACAGGCACTAGCTGCTATGTGATGAAAAGCAGTCCTTTGACTGGTAGAAACTTAAAGCTTTGATAAGGAGACATATTCTGATATTTTAAATGTCAGGTCCAACGTCATCTGTTAATGACAAGGTGTTAAGTAAGTCCAGCACAGGGGGCCCAAGGAGTGGCTACTCATGGGCTCAAAAGAACACAAAGGAAATTGTAATTAGGCCCTGGGACTGCGACTTCCACCATCTCCATATCACTGCAGGTCTAAGAGTCAATCAACCAGGCTTTGCAGACCAGCCTCTGCCAAGGAATTCCTGTACACACACACACACACACACACACACACACACACACACACACACACACACGACACCTCTCATTCTCACTCTCCTAGCTCCCTGGTGTTTACTGAGAGCTCAAGGGGTACAATCACGTTAAAACAGTTTCATCTCTGACCACACACAGGATAGTGAGAGCTACTAAATTATGTATGTCTTTTGCGTGTGATATCTGTGACGATGGCCATGGACTTGTCTCTGGGATATTTCTCTCATTTGTTTCTGACTGTCAATAATAACCTGCAAACGCTGATAAGGAAAGGGGGAGAAACTGCATTACACATCAAATGAAGTTCCCATCACGGAATAATCCATGCTTTCAACAAAAAAAGATTATATCAGACTTAAGAGTTCCATATGTCTTCCCAGGGCATATGCCTTTGAGGTTAGGTTATGCAGGGCCTCTCATTTAATAAATTATTTTCCTATGATTGTGGTCACATTGAGAAAACTACTTTGCATTCATCTGCAATTATTAATCGGCTTTTATACTTTCTTGTAATTTTCCTTCAATCCATATTTTGCTTTGTGACTGAAATATAAGTATGAAAGATTAGCATTCTCCTAATGAATTTTACACATAACATTACTGCATGTTTTAAAATTGTTTTATTCCACTTTAGTTTTAGTTCTTTCTTAAACGTTAAGATTATAACTCTAGATTTCTAATAATTCGTTCCTGGATGGTATGTGTTTACTTCTTTTTACGTGTTCAAGATAACATTTTAATGCCTTTGTTTCAGATATATGTCTTGAAAAAAGCAATCATTTTAGAGTCTATTTCAGTCAGCAATAAGAACATCGGTTATTTTTGGCTTTTGTTTTGTGTTTGGTAAGTTATGTCCATTTACATTTTTTACATTTATTTGTCTGCCTATTTTGTGTGTCTGGCAAGGCCATACATGATCTACAGTGTACTTGTAGAGGTCAGAGGACAACTTGCAGGAGTCATTTCTCTGCTTCCACAATGTGGGTCCTTGGGATCCAACTGAAGTCATCAGAAGCAGTACTCGGGCTTCTATTACACTTTAATACGATCTACATATAAGGTGAGTCACACAGTATACCTTTTTGTCCAACATATTTACTTGTAAACTTTCATTGCAATGAGTCATTGAACTTGTTCATGGCCTCTAGTTTCTGGTACACTATCATCATGGGACCCTCAACAAAACTCCTCTAGGATATCCTGCAGTCACCCCAAGTAACAGAGATTCTGCAGGTATTGTTCCCCAGGACCAGTCAATTCCAGCATTCCAGTTGGCCTTAGATGGTGTAGATGTTAGGATGGGCCAAGCCAAGAACCCCAATATGGACCTGGGTGGTAGCTGAGCTGATCAGCTGCCTGCCTAAGGATAGGGCCGAAGCCAGCTCACCTATGCCCATGGCACCAGGCCCAGTTTTCCAATGCCCATGGTGAGGTGTGGGACTAACTCTCCTGTGAAAGTCAGGGCCAGCTCTTGACACAATGTCCACCAAAGGGCAGAACCAGCTCACTCTGGCCCTTGGATATCATCATTCATGGCTCTTAAGGCCCCCTGTAGTAACATGGGCCACAAACATCAGCACATACCCTAGCTCTGGTAGGACCATAGACCCAACATGATCCTGGCAGCAACTCGTCCTTGATGTCACCATTTCCCGGGTGGTTTCACAGACCACACAGATCAGGATGGCACCAGCTGCAGCAAAGCCTTTGGACACCAACGTGGCCTCAGGTGGTGACCCACACTTCAGGCATCCGCATGGCCTTCATTGGTAACAGGAATCAGGAAGACAAAGACCCTGGCTACTGCTGGGTCACAGATATGGCCCTGGTCAGCAGCTCAGGCATGCACAACACCAGGTTGGCAGCTCGGGTCTCTCAGATCATTGTCACTCCAATGGCAACACAGCGCTCAGATCCCAACAAGGCCAGAGGACACAGCCCAGACTCCAGGCTCCTGTGTGCCCTTTGGTGGCAGCATGGACCATGGATGTTAACATAGACCCGAGCTGCAATAAGACCAGAGACCCAGAAATGACCTTTGGTAGCAACCTCGGTCCTGTTGACACCATGACCATGAATGACAAGAAGACCACCCCCTCAGCCTTTTCCTTACCACCTTCTATTCCCCCTCTTTTCACAGCACATGAACTATCCCGCTACTCTTTCTCTCCTGTTTCTCCACCACACATTTTGCTCATTGTAATGGAAGCCTTGTAGCTCTGGGCAGGCCTCTGGTTGTCTACCAGCCAGACCAGGCTTTGAGGACTCTGGCTGGTCTGTGATTGGCTAGCACCTTCTGGACCTGGATGCCATAAGGCAGAGTGGAGATGTCTTTCTGCCAGACAATGAGTACAATTAAAAACATATATGTGTAGTGTAAACATTTCAGCTCAAATGTAAAGGGATCCTGGCCGTCCAGATGCAAGGAATACCACAAAGTCAGTATAAGCTTAGCAGCTTACAGATCTGCTTCAGGGAAAGCTTTCCTCAAAGTAACAGCTCTGCTCCATCAGGAAAGTTGTTACAGCTTTGGTCAAATGACAATTAACATATCAAGAAACTGAGAAATATTTTTCCAAGTTATTGTCCTATTTCCCATGGCTACCAGCAGTCAGTATGATAGTTTCATCCCCCACAACCTTGCCAGGTCTTCATATTATTATTTCTGTATATTTTGTGGGGGTGTCAAGAGTCCCCTAGAGTCACCTGTCTCTCTTCCCTAAGTGTTAAGGATGTTGATGCTGTATGTTTCTCTTAGTGGAGCATCTACTCACCCTTCTGGACAACTTTTATTTCATGAATTGTGTATTTTCTTAGTGACTCTTTTTTAGGCTTTCTGTATTCTGGAAACAATAAGGCTGTCATCTAATACACAATTTCCTACATTCATTTTTTTCCCAGGCAGGGAAAATAACTTTTATATCACAGTTTACATTTTTCACTTTATGGAAGTCCTAACAGTCCAGTTCTTTTCATAAAAGGGGTTTGTTATATCTATGAATTTTATCTATAATTCTATCAATTGCTTTCTGTTACAAGATTCATGCTTAGGTTGTATTTTGGATTAATTACCTTTTAGATTTGCTTTCACTATTTACTGGGTATCTGCCTATATGTTTGTGTGTGCCGTATGCACATTTGAATGCAGATGCTTGCTGAGACCAGAAAAGACTGTCAGCTCCCCTGGATCTGGAGTTATAGGTATCTCTGGGCCACCATATGGGGACTGTAAGCTGAAGTCAGGTCCTCTGCAATAGCCAAAGGCACTCTTAACCTCAGAGATGTCTCTCTAGTCCTATGTAGATCATTTGTTAATTTTGGTTGACTTTTGTATCCAGTGATAAACAACTTGTCTATATTTATATTTGTCCATGAGGATGTCCACTTGTCCCATAATAAGACAGAAAAACAGGGCATTGAAGGGGATATGAGAGGGGAATACACAGCCCCTCACCCTGTGATCATTTTTTTTTTTTTTGATTTTCGAGACAGGGTTTCTTCATAGCTTTTTAGTTCCTGTTCTGGAACTAGCTCTTGTAGACCAGGCTGGCCTCGAACTCACAGACATCCGCCAGCCTCTGCCTGCCAAGTGTTGGTATTAAAGGCGTGAGCCAACACTGCCCGGCCCTGTGATCATTTTTACATTTTTCTAACTGACATTCAAGAAGCCTCCACCCAAATGATAGAGTCAAAATTACCCACAGATATAATGCAAGTAGTACTAAAGACATCTCAAAGAAAGTTTAAAAATAACAACAAATAAACTAGGGTCCGAAGATAGGGGTCATTCTTTAATATCACTGGATGTCTTCCAGAGGATCCAGGGTTGATACCCAGCACCTACCTGATGATTCACAACTGTCTGTACTCCAGTTTGAGAGATTTCAAACTCTGGTGCCCTCTGTGAGCAATAGGTATTCACTCAGATGGTGCACAGACTTCCTTGTGAAAAACATTAAAAAATTAATTAATTATGCTTACTTAGGACCAGAATGTTGGCAGAATCACATATTCACCTTACAATTTAATTTACTAAAAGTTTTTTAAAAGGGATAAGAACATTTAAAAGCATTTTTATTTTTTACTTTTAATAACCTATTGTATATTTTCTTCAAGTGGAAAAACAGAACCATTTCAAAGACTCAAAGCATGAAATTTTAAAACAATGTAATAATGTAACAATGTAACTCTGAGAACCATAAAAATCTTCACATTTCTCACTCTCCTGCCCTCCTCACACACCCTAATCTCAAGTCTCTCTAGTCCTCACTCAGGCCTTCATTCCTGAGCCATCCCTATACTATGTGAGCTTCTTCCATAGCATGAATAAGCTCACAAGCTTTGCTTCATTCTGGCTTTTCCTGAAATTCTTTTCTGC